AGACCTCCCAGAGGCATTGTATATTACACCTGTTCATTACATGTTACATTGCTAATGACAACAGAAAGAATGGTTTACAGCGACATTCCAAAGAGTTATGAACACCGAATGGGATGTTGTGATTCTGGACGAGATGTTCGCGGCGTCTCAAGGAGCCATGGCGTTGGCCCTTCGCAAGAAGTACGGCGCTAAACTCGCTACTTTCTCAACTACAGGTGTCTTCACAATTTGATTTTTTATAATAGTGTATATCTAACTCAGTACGACTCAAATTAGTGCCTTCTGAATCTCAGGAGGAACGACGAAGGAGAGCGATATGCTCCGTAATGACAGATGAATTTCCTCTATTCGTTCTGGTGATGCTGTGGTTTCCATTTATCTCATACGTCACTGTGAGCGCGTCCGTGGCCCTGAAATATCGAATTCACGTTCAAAAAAGCCTGTTACGCTTTTTCATGACAGTAACTTATTACAGAAAGCTGTAACCGTAATGAAATAATGTATGGCAAATAAGTCTGTACGCTACAGCTGATCTCAAGCATTCAGAATCAACCGCGGTTCATGAATGCTATCGCCTTTATTCTCCAGATAATATGTCACAACATTCGCCCATTTGCTACGGGTCCTACAATATATTAACGGCTTCGTCTGAATAGTTGATACAGTCGTAAGCAGTCGGGGCGTTTTCGGGGGGGGGGGCTGATAAACCCTCCTTCGACTCCCCTTCCCAATAGTAATTAGTAAAAGATCATTCAGGAAAAACAACTGGTGGTGGAGGCGCTGCCAGTGAGCCCATTTATGTCTGTCTATTACTTCAGCAGTACCTGAAAGCCTGGTTCTGGGGGCGGGTCAAGAATTGCGGGGTGAATAGGCTGCGGACCAAAATGATGGACACACATGGCTCAAGCTAAACTGCACCCACGGTGAGCGAGGCGTGCTCTAAACAAAGAACACCAACTTCAAAACTTGCATTTCGCTTCCAGAAGAGCCCGGGACAGGGAAAAAGTGGGCAACGATACGGAGTTGGCAAGACGCGATTCAGATTTGAGGAAAATACGCCAGAGTTTGGCGTAAGTTCTATGGAAATATTGCTGGTAGACCCACTGCCACAAGAAGTTACGGGACCAGTACGAAGCTGGTTCGCATCCGCATCGTGTGCTGGACACTAATGCGCGTAGAGGTGCACTAAAGACGACTCCACTTAAGGATTGACATGCTCCCAGGACTCTTAAGACAATTCCCGCGATCAAATGTATGTTCAGTCATTAACCAGTAGCCCATCAAAAACTCATCAACAGAGAAAGAAGCGAAAAAAAGTTCGGGAACACCCTGAGCACAGATCCACCCCATAGCAGTGGGGCTGGCTCCTTGGACGAGTTCATCATGAGGACAAGCCCAATCAGCAAGATTCTAGGTGCAGCCAATTTCCGGCAAGAGCATATCGCCCTACGACGCTCCAGGCAACGCTACGTACATTTCAGTTTGTAAGCCGTTGTCTTGCAGAGTTACAGTACGCGGTTGCACCGGTTGCAAAACTCACGCGTCTCTAGCTTCGTTATCTCGCCATTTCGAGTGACGAAAGTGGTATATTCTCTGCGAGTGCGGACAACGATGCCAAATGCACGGAGGCATTTCGCTGATCACTTGATCGCGGGATGTGTCTTTAAGTCCATCAGCTCAAGTCAAATTATTGGTGTAGTTTAGAATTCTTGTGAATCCTCTACAAGTTCCGAGCAATATTAGACAGCAAAAGGAAAGGAAAAATGGTGTAAAAGGAGCAAGTACGTCCTTGCTGCTCAGCAAAAAAAAACAAACAACTCCGCTTACGCATCACTCAAACCACGGCGCTTACTCATCACTTCTTCACGAGCATCAGAGAGCTTTTTCTTTGCTAGCTCTTAAAGTGTGGAGAACATGCCAATTTCCGTCATTTCCAACTGTTTGCCATTTACAGATCTCTACAATCAGTACAGTATCTACCGAGGATTCGCTCGTAATCCAGTCACAACACCAAAGTAAGTGTTTTTGTGAAATTAAGTTCTGTTGCTGGTTACAAAATGCGGAGGAAAAACAGAAGGAAAGAGATTGTTAAAAATTTTTAGGGGCAGCTCGGCTTGGGGAGGGGTGAAGCATTTTGCACTTTCCCTACTCCCCACCGAAGTACAGAGCCATCAAAAGTGGACCAGTGAAATCTTATGAAACCACCAAACGATACCAGCCGACCTTTGTAGATTCCTGTCGATTCTTTCAGAGCAATGAACATGCAGATGGAAATCAGGAAGCGAAAGTTCAAAAGACCGCGCTTCCCCCCCCCCCCCCCTTTCCCCCCTCCGCCACTTCTCCCCCAGGCAAGCCGAATTGCACCGCTTTCACGTAGAAGAGTAAAATCAGCATGAAAGTTGGTACTCACCCAAATACGGTGACCGGGTGGCGGCCAAGCAAAGCGAGAAACATTGGAACTTTGGAATAACAAAAGCCGGAATCAATAAGCGCCAAATATTCTTGTATAATTTTTACTGCCATGAATATTTATGCATTTTGTGAACTTACACAATTCCAGCTACTATACGAAAGGCTATGATATGACAACCTATGATATATCTGACTTCCTTCTTCGACTTCTTACTGTGAAAGACGCAGTTTTGGAGAAGGTTTCTCACTAATAAATACGGAACTCTTGTCTAGTGACCCAATAAGGTTTTTCAGTATTATCTAGGAGTAGCAGCCAATTTTTGGAACAAGAAAGCTGGAGAAGTGCTCAACGTCTACAATACTTACCAGACTATTTTTGAAGTATGATATGCTGTCGTAAGCTATTTTTTTCCCTACTTACTCAATTGGAATGAAAAAATCCGTGTCCAGCAATCAGAAATGATTAAAGGCTTCTCACATTACCTTCATGGATTTCCCATCGCGTTATGGCTACGTCTGCTCAATGGGAACTGATCTGATCCACGTTGCCGAACACTGTCAAGGTGGTCTTTTGAATTTTCTTTCTGAGGTAGATAATCATTAACCTGGAAAAAAGAGTTCGAATTACAGATTCCAAAGAGCTTCCACCAGATCTGAAGAATTTCATAGAAGATCCTACATCGAAAGGGACAATTTACATAGCATTTGGATCAATAGTCAACTGGCGAGCAGCCAAACCGGAAGTGCGTACATATCAGACTTTGAGGTTTTGTCCAGTGGGAGCGGCGTAAACTGAAAATTTTGAAGCAGTTGAAAATGGTCACAATACGTTGACGGACAAATTCCTGAGTTTTATGTAAAAAATTCTACTGAATTTTCACACCCCTGTCATTTTTATAATTTCCACTTCACTTCTGAGGTAGGTTTCATCGATGTATTGATCCTGAAGGTGAACGCTTGAAGCAACAAATGGTGGTCCGTCGAAGCGAGGTAAAGTGAACACGCAGGATAGAATTCAACCGTCCAGCTGAAATCCTTAGTTTCTGGCATGATTCTATTCGGCTTGAGGTCTAACACTCATGGAGGATGGTCACTTTCCTGTATTAGGTTCACAATAATTCTTCCTCGACGACCGCTGAGATTGTGGGATGACATGGGTGAGAGTACAAGTGTAGATGAGTTGCTCACTACGCTGGTTCGGGTTCCGATCTGCCCCCTACTAGAAAGTACGCTGAAAATGGGCAGGTTCTCTGAATGATTACCCACGTGGCGGGGATCGTACCTGCACATTTCACCCACATCCCAAAAACAACCATTCGAACACTGCCGTAATAACCCGTATGCAGGATCAGGATGTGAGTCTCAAAATCCAAAACACTGCTAAGAAATGCCATCATCACAGTCACATTTTTAGGTAATATCCACGTTTTTCGATGTGCTCAATTCCTTCGCTGACTACAGAATCATATTCAGCTATGCTGGGCCAGAGGTTTGTCATTTTGAATCCACCTACACTCGAAATCCCTGAGATGAGGTAGGACGTGGCTGCGTACTTCAACTAAAACGTCGTGGTGGCTG